CATAAAATCAATCATGTTGACAAGTTATTTATCATTTTAAGTTGATTACGTTGGCAGCTTTCTTTCTTATCACATTTTTTTTTTTTATCGTTAAAAAATCATTAAATATCAATTTAGTAAGAAATCGAGTTCAAAGTAATACGAAATGTTGGATATGACGTCATGAATGTACTCTTCATAAGCGATGCTATCTTCGGATTAGAAGAATTATTCACTTTTGTTTTGATGATATAGCATTTAAAGGATTCCAATGTTTTCGTTGGGGATGGCACAGGAGAACAGCTATCGTCAAGTGGTTTTTTTTTTTTTTTTAATTTTAATTTTATCGTTAGAAACTGTCATTTTGAGTAATTTGATGCTTCTACAATTGATTGACACTTTCTGTTTCCCATACAATATAAAACTTCGATACTTTTTTTGCAACCATTCGATACTTTTTTCACCATTTTCAAACTTTTTAAAATAATTACTCAATGTAATTTCGCATAAAGTAATCACAGCATGTCATTTCATCGATTTTGTTCCATTTGCTGCTCCTTTTTATACCCGTCTTCCTCATTCCTTCCTTTGTCAATATGAGGTAAGTAGCTAAATGAAATAATTTTCAAAAATATACTTTGTCTTAATAAGTCATACTTTTATTTTATACCGGATTTTATAGCACTTCCAGCAATAATTTTTTTCCATAGTTGACAGTAGGAGGAAAAGAAATCCGTTTACATCTCTTGACATTGTTAACTTTTGCCTATTCCGTCACCAAAGTTAAAAAAAGAACTTTAGATTTTCACGAAAAAAAAAAAAAAAAGAACTTTAGAGTAAATTTACGCATTTTGTGTTTATCATGAAGGAAGGAGGATAAAGTGGTACCGTGATTTTTAATTTAAAAAAAGCAGTCTTTTGGGACTATTTTCTCACATTGATTAATGGTCGTTATTGCCGTCCTGAAATGATGACCGTTTTTTTTTTTTTTGACGTTTTTGTTGCTAACTTTTTTCATGTAGTTGTTATTTTTGCATGTTTTGCAAAGGTCATATAATTAATCGTACAAATGTGAAAAAGTGAAGGAAGAGGAAAAGGAGGATGAAATTATGGTATCGGTTCGTGCCCATCCATCTAATTAATTACCTTCTCAGAGATTTCCGTAGCGGTTTATATTTGTTGTTATGTCCATCTGTTTTTTTTTTTTTTTTTAATTTCAAATTTCATTACCAATTTGTAAAGAGTGATTAAATTATCGTCCAATTTTGTCATCTAATTTGATAAACGAATTGCATTCTTTCGAAATTCTCATAGTCCTTATTTGTTGGCACAAATGAACAGAACAAACAGCAATGTAATAGGGAAGGCAGATAAAAAGTCTTTTTTTAATTAAATATATTTGTAAAAATAAGGTAATGAAAATAATGAAACACTGGAAAAGTTAAATTTTCATTGGTGATGAAATCTGAAATTCAAAAAAAAAAAAAAAAAGAAGATGGAATGTCAATAACATTTTGATTGATAACATTTTGATAGTACTAATAATTTAAGCCGCTATCAAACTTCTCTTTTTAAGATAAAGAAGGTATACTTTTTTTCTGATCTATGATTTTCAGTTGAGTCTGTCAAATTTCGGTATTAAAAGCATTTTATGCTCATCATTAGCTCGAGAAACTCGTTCTTCTCTACTGTTTGAAACTTTTAAATGTACCATATTCAGCATCTGTTTTTCTTGATTCAATTTTCTGAAATTTGAATCTACATCGAACTGAAAATTGCAAATACAGTTAACTGATTAGTTCTTCTAGTTTCTTCTCCAAAAGAATTTTATGCCTATTTGATGTTTATTTTAAAGTCTGCTAATTTTAAATGTAATTCAAATATCAGATGGAAGAATTCTTTTTTTTTTTTTTCGAAATTGAAGAAATGGAGAAAAATAGAATGTAGGAAAAGTTGAAAATAATTGCAGTTGACTGCTTTTTGGATATTATAATTTGGTTTTGGTAGTCATCCGGCATTGCTTCTACACAAATAAATTCCGATGCAACACGTGTGGCATGCAGCGTATGCAACGTTAAGACTGTATTTATCTAAGTGCTATAAAGTAATTATCAGTTTGCAGAAAACCGGTTGTACAGTTTCACTTAAAATAAATGTATAAAAAGTCAAACGCCAAAGAATGGATTTTATTTTTATATGGCCAATTATTCTTACCAGTATTTGTGTAGAAGAATTATTGTTCAATTTTATCTGTTAAACTTTTTCATTTTTTTTTTTTTTTTTTTTTTTTTGGAAGGAAGGTTAATAGCAGTTATGGGAGAAGGTATAAAGAGATTTATTAATATTATAAAGAGAGTTATGATGAACAAAGTAATCATTTCAGCTTATTTCGGCAGTAGTAGATAAAACATTTAAACTAAATTCAAAAAGAAAAGAACAAAGCAGTAACAAAGGCTTGATCTCTGATTGTTCTTTTGCTTATTTTTTAAACAAAATTTGTAAAGATTTACTTAAAAATATTAGCATCGTTTTATTACAGATCGAACTGATTTCAAAAAAACCTTTTTTTTTCTTAGTTTTCCTTTTCAACTTCAAATTCACTAATAAATTTCTTCTCTGTTGCACTGGAACATTGAATTGTAATCGAATTGGCTTTCCTTTTTTTTCCTTTTTTTTCTGTCTTTTTTTGGAAAGAAATGTTTCACTGAATTCCTCCATTAATACATTCAATATGATTTCTAAAAAATAATTATTACTCTAAAATGTTAACTTGTGACGATTTTCTTTTTCAAATTATGATTGATTATATGAACTGAAATCACATAAATTCTGAGTTTCCAGATTTATTTTGAGTTGAATTTAATGAAAGGTTAAAAGGGGAATCTGATTAGAAGCATTGCTTTTTCCGTCAGAACTACCATACAGCTTAGTGAGATAAACCATAGATAAATTTTACTTTTAAAGGTTAAAGGTTGTGTTATCATGAACTAATTAAGACAGTATTATCTATAAATAAAGTAAAAGGAGAGGGGAAAATTGAGGGAATTTCCCTTTAACAAAAGTCATCTCTTATTGTAAAATGTAATTGTAAAAACAGTTCATTCACAGTTCTTTCCAGTAAAATTTGTCATCTGTTTAAATGTGTAAACTTTTCTGTTTACTCTTTTCAGTTCTTTCTGATCTAACGAAAGATATTTTTCCGTTTAGGATATTTTAATTTTGTTTGCACAGATTTTTATTTTTTATTTATTTATTTTTTTGAATGAGCTACTCCTCAATACTTTCGAAGGTCATCACTGCATTTAGCGGTGCAACTCAACAGGAAAATTTCATAATATCTCATAAATATGAACTAAAATTTAAAGAATTTAATTTATGCACTCCAATGATTTATCTATATTTGCAGAAATACGCTGCAAATTTTATTTTTCCTTTCCTCTATGTCAATAATTTATCACTAATATCGTAAATATTAAATGTTATTAAAAATTTCATCCAAATTTGATTACATTATTTGTATAAAACAATATTCTAAGTAACCATTGAATCAATTAGTGTTTTAACAAAGCTTAATTTTTAACATTGCAAATTAAATCTTCACATCTTTATAACATTTTCTTTTAACTGCTACACTTCATTGATTCTTTTTTAAATTTTAAATTTGTATTTAAATCCAATTGAATCTACAGCTTATAATTACAATCAAATATAGAAAGATATATGAACATCTATCATGTAATATCATCATCTATCTCATTATCACAACAATTGATTGTAATAATGACTAAGATTGAAAATTGTTATGTTCCTCTATCCGTGAAGGTTAGAAAAAATTTCGATAACAGTCTGTGCATCACGATTTATTGGCGGTGGTTGTTACAAAGTGTTAGGATGATGCAAAGATTCGCACAATGCCGTGAGAAGAAGGACAGTCGCACTTCTTTCAAATATTATTGAAATATTTTACAGAAGTGAAAAAAATTAGAGGAGTGATCTGTCCTTTAACAAGGAGCGACCCATTAAATCTACTTCGTCTTCCCCTCATATTTCTTTTTTTTTTTTTTGTCTTCTTGCTTTTGAATGATTGTAATGTATATTTTATGCATATTGTTATCCTTCTTCTTTCTCTCCATTTTTAACAATTCCTTTCATTGTCATTTAATCAATCTATCTTTCTTTTTCTGCTTAGTTCATTTCTTCCTTTTTCCAAACAATTTTAAAATTTATCGAAAGTACAATTAGTACCTCATTAATTGCTGAATACTAGTTTCTATCAAATTTATATGTTTTTAATATCACTTTATTCCCTCCTTTTTTACCCTGATTCTTGGCCATTTTCATCTTTTCCAGTTTTAAGTACAATTACATTTATTTGTTTTCCCGGCTTAGAAACTTTATCTATTATCTTTTATTATTAATTATTGCAAATTAATCAGCATAAATGGGAGATCACAGGGAATGTTGAAGAATTTGGATGATATTAAATCTTCTCTATTGATAAATGGTTTATTGATGTTAATAAGCCATCCACTAATGAACATATTTAATGGTAATTCAAGAGTACTCTTGAAGTTTAATAATTTTTTTCTCCTTCTGACAATTAGCAGCAAAATTTATAAATTTTTGTAACTCAGACAAACATTTTCTCGAGACTTCCTTTTCAATTTGTCTTTATCTTTTCCCAGTGTTATTGTTACTGTCATCTTGCTGGACAATTTCTCTAAGCAATCATGCATCACATCGAGTATATTTATTTTCACGAGCAGTCAAATTCGGTATTTACATGCTTTTGCGCAAATCATTTTAATATCCGAATGTCTCAGGATGCCTCAGAATTTTACGAGAAAAGCTTATTGAAGATGGATTACGGCTATTGAACAAGCTTGTACGATCTCATTGTCACGAGAGATTCGGGATTTTCAGAGGAAAGTTTGTTCGAAGCTTTTGAATGATAGTGGTGCGGGGCTATCGATGTTGCAGCAAAGAACGCAGTGACAACTTATTCCATGTCTTACTAAAAGATGAATGCTATTGAAAAATTAGACAAAATTTTACGACGTCTAAGTAGCAAAAGTCGCCGTGCTGCTACGAGACGTGTGAACTGTCATCCAGAAGTTTCTAGCTCATGTAGTGATGAAGATGATTTAGCAGAACAACAAACGGATTCCTCAAAAAATGACCGTAAAAGTGGCAGTAGCCGTCGGATACATTTGAAGCCAATAATACCAACCATTCAAGGAATGATAGCAACAGCAACAAGGCGATCCTCAGTAAGTGACAAACATTTTGTTAACAGTAATAGATTTCAGGTTTCAGCAATCAGTTATTATCGTGTTTATTCGGCCGCAATGGTATGTCATCATTTACAGGAAGAACTGGAAAGGACATATAATCTGCAGCAGCAACAACAACAACAACAACAACAACAACAACAACAACAATTGCAGTACGTCCAGCAAAAGCCAGAAGAGGATGAACATCCGAAGACTGCGGAGACTTATGATGGCCAAATGTTAAGTGTTGACAACTGCGACACTTTCAGATCACTACTTTCGCCCTCTAGGTTACCAGCTACTCGAATGTTGGCAGGTGATTTAGTAACTCAGACTGTGGCAGGCTCTGCCACTCACGACAAATCATGTGAATCTGAAGATGCCGATTACGTATCCGATTATTCTACCTATGGAGTACAGCGAAGTGTAACACGGAAATCCGTTTACGAATTAGATATGTCTATGGATGAATCTTTGCCAGAATCATGCGGGCGTGAAAGTGGCTACTTGTCGGGAATTGATGTACGTTACAGTATATCAGCTGCTGAATCACCTGCTTTATCACCTCTTGGTGTAGCTTTTTTTCGAGCTCAACCGTTGTTTCAACGTACGCTAGGAGCGATCACGCAGCAATCTTTTGATAGTGAAGAATTGCAAAAGAACGAAAAAGGTAATCTGAAAGTGATTGCCATTCCACAACAAATTGGCAATACAAAGGATCTGAAGCTTCAGGATGAGGAAGCCAAAATACCGGATTATATGAGTACTGAAAAGCTACTCCGGGATAGTATTGCGGAAACGAAATACATAACAACTATTTTTGAGCTTTCGTCGGGTGGTATCGTTGGTTTAATTGATGATGTCCTCAACGAATTTAGTTTGTGGTTCCATGAAGAGATTGGCCTCTTAGGAATTGCATGTGAGGTGCACTGGTCGGTACCGGAGAAACACCGTCATCTTGCATCCGAGAAAAGGTACTTATTCTCATATTAACCTAATGCTAAACGTTAAGCGCATATCACTTAACAAATAATATCTAAAGAATCATGGAATTGGTGGAAACTGATTATTAAGCCATATGGTTCAACTAATAATTGATTTCACGCTTACTTTTGACAAAACCTGCAAGTTATTTGAGCTATTTGTTAGCTTGAATTGTTTACATATGGGTTATTTTCCGGGTGTAAGGTGATTTTAGCGATCATTTGAATAATTTAATATTAAAAAAATCACTTAACTTCTCTTTGCAACTTCCTTGAAATCACTAATCAAGCTTAGACTAATAATATCTAGAATGAAGGAAGCTCTTCATCATTCACTCCGGCAAAACAATCGTCGTGTATTAAACATGAAAAGTAGAACTGGTAACTATCATTTGCCGTTAACGATGATATCAGCTATAACAGAGGAAAATTGTGCACGCGATTGTCAGTTAAATTGCTTTCAAGGTAAATCCATCCTTGACATAGCTATTTTTGACAAAATTAAAAAATGTCAGCTAAAAAAAACTTTCCAAAAATTTAACCTTCTTCAAATTTTTCATTTATGCAAAGCACCCTGGAAAATCCCTTTGATAGTTTAAATATGATAATTCAATAAAGCAAGATTTCAAATGCAATACGTAAAGTTTACATATTTGCGAAGAATGCAGTTTGCTGTAGGGAAATTGAATTTGAAGACAGAAATTTCTTTTTAAATCCAGGTAAAATTACGTCCACTTATAAGTCAGTTTAATAATATTGAGGTTGTCCAGAAACTTAAGCTCGTATAAAAAATGTCTAGAAAAAAATATCCTGAAAAATTTGCTTCAATTTGTTCGTTAACTTAGGTGTTTATCGTCGTTTCTACACATCGTTATTGCCGTATCAACACACAGACACAAGTGTATGGCATAGTCCGTATTGGAATTTACGTGATATCAATCAATCAAATACACAAAAGCCAAATCCGGAACAGTTCATTTTTGGACGTGATGCGACCAAACTTGATGTCGGCAGTTTGGTTGCTGTTAATGTTGTCGCACTGAAAATTGTGCTATAGATAACGACGCTAAACAAAAGCTTTTTTCATATCCTTCAAATGGATCATTTTTCCGAAACTTTTATCATAATTAGTTGTAATTAGCTGCGACAACTGCAAGCATGTTTGATTTTCAAACTGCAATATTCTCCATTTTACATATTAATTTGAAAATTTTACTTCACGGCCAAGCAATGTTACGACACACAGTTCATTAATCTTTTAACTGTTCTTAACAAATTTTATTCAGAAAAAAGTATAAATTCTTACACTTCTATTTAACTTCCTCACTAATCCGAATAATCTGAGAACAAATATCATTTTACAGAGTCTAATCTCAAAACAAACATCACTTGACGGAATTTGTCTTGAGTGCATCTAAATCATACAGTTTGACTTTCAAACTTTGACTTTATAAAGAGTGATTTCTTATCACTAATATTTAATTCAAGCTTTCAACGATAATCGCTTAAAAAAAAGACTTATCTTTGATTCAATGAGCTAATATTTTATCAAACGAATGGAAATACTTCATTTAACTACTATTTCATCCCTTATTTGTTGGAAAAAGATTGAAATATCCTTGAACTATCTTTCATAACATTTAATTATCATGAAATATAATTTAAAAAACTTCTAAATTGCATGTAATTTTGTTTAAACCTACAGTGAGGTCTATTTTCACAAATTTAAATAAATTAGATAATACTAATTGCTTCTCTTTTATTCCAATCATGTATAAAACATTTTCCTTATTTTACTCCATTCATTTTCAAAGCTAACTCAATCTTATAATTGTTTGCTTTTTGGGCTTCCTAATTCTAATTCATCATTAACATTCGGGTTTATATCTTCCGATTGGCTATTCATTTGTAATAGCATTGAATTTCGAAATCGATGCTTTAATTTTTCAAACTTTTCATTTCAAAATTCCGAACTTTACTATCAAATCCATATCATCATCATTTTAAATTCAGTTCAAATATTTTTTAGTACATCAATATTTGCAAATAGTGTTGTACAAAGTGCCTTCCTTTATTAATCACTTTCAGCAACTATATTGCAATAAAAGTTAAATGCAGTTTATTTGTAAGATGGGATAGTTGTTGAAGACAAACGGATGTCAAAATATTTACCTTTGAGCAGTGCTTACCTAATCATTTGTTTCTAAATATCTTTTGAATATCACATTGTGTATTCCATTATTAGAATCAGTACTGAATTAATTTATGCACAATGAAATTCAGCTTTTTTCGAAAGAAATGTCCGGGAAAACTTTCACTGCAATTTATAAACACAGAATTCATTACTTTAAGCTGACTTTCTTCCCAAAACTTTCCGAAATTTAAATTTGAAAATACTACTAATTTGCATTTTTGTTCGACATACATGTTCAAGTATTACTATTCTTCTTATATCCAATAATGCTTGGGTTCGTTTACAGGCATTTCATTTCTAGCTATAAATAGTTGGGAAAATTTTTCGAAACAGAATTAACCTTCCAAGTTTAATGTTTTTGTGATGCAAAAATGTCACCAGAATGAGTAAAGTGAGTGGCTTAATTTTTAATCTCTAATCTAATTGAAAACTTTTTCAAATAGCAAGAGTAATTTTTTTTTTTTTTTTGAAATTTTGATGCAAGCTATAAAGTAAATCATAAAGTTCAGTTGACTTTTGTATACTAAGGTCAAAGTCCTTTATAATTCTCTTCCTCTTTTTAATTCCTTCTACATTGTAGTATGCTAACATCTTCTTAGCTTCAAAAAATAAAAATGCGATGAATGACTGAAATTAAAGTCTGAGACATTCCGTTGTATGAGTCAAAATATCATATTTGAAGATAAATAAGAGCAGCTTCAAGTCGAAAATGGTATGCAGAAGACATTTTGCTACAAATTCTGTGATCTTGGACATTACTTTGTAATGGTCTCATCAACTTTTTTTTCCCTTTTATGATGACTAATAGAGTTCAAATTGCCATTAAGAAAGTCGTTGAGATGGCTTTTCATAATATACCTCCAATCACAAACTTAATTACCGATTTGTCACTTACCGGACGAATTGATGTCTTGAAAAATAAATAGAAATACTCCATGTCATTATTACCGAATAAGATGAGTTAGAATATTTTTCAGTGTTGTTGTTAAATAAAGTTCTGTCGATTAAATTAAAGATATGAGAATCTCCAGAGTTTGTAAATTTTTCCAAATGAAATTAAGAGAAAATTGATCCCATTTACTGCTAATTATTTTTAGCTAAAAGTAAAAGCAGAAAATGCTGTGGAAATGGACAAAACAGCAACACGTCTGTTGCGAATTGAAGTTAAAGATATCAACGACAATTTGCCAATCTTTTCGGAAATTCACAGTGTAATTTTGTTGCTAAAAAAATTATATTTTGTCCAATTGAAAAAAATGCCACTAATTGAAGCAAAAATTGAATAAATCATTCAATTTACATTTATTTAAACAAAAGAGAATTGCTTTGACACTTAATTAGAAATAACTTACTTCACAATTAGAATCTACTCTCAAAATTTGCTGATTAGCTTCTGATTGATTTTGATCGTTGACTTCCATCGTGCAATAATTATCAAATTTCAGTCAGTACCTTTAGTGTTTGTGATTCAACCAGGTAATACAACTATTGGACAATTGAAAGCAGTGGATATAGATGATGCGCCGTATAATTCCATATATTACTACATGTTACCTAGTTGTAAGCTTTGTCATACAAAAAATTTCTCACAAATGTGTGACTTTTTGATTGAATTTATCAACTAAATAGCAAATAATTGAATAATTTAATGAGTTGGATGAATGTAAAAAAAAAAAAAAAAAAATAACTGACTCAAGTCACAGTAAAGGTACAAATCGAGATGGAATATTCACTATTGACAAACAAACTGGTATTGTTTCGGTGACAAATCCCAATGATCTCAAATATGATGAATATCATTTATGCGCCTTAGCCAGGTCCTATAATTCCTTATAATTTTTCAAAACTTTGATTAAATTTATTCAATCAATAAAGGTTTTTATCTGAAAATTAACCAAAAAAAAAAACACACTGCTCCTTATTAATATATACTAACGAATGTTATGGAATGCTTTAAGTATTTCATATTTAGATGGTTCTTTGTAAAGTTTAATTATTCTAGTGCTTACAATATGTCAAAGACACCGAAAATATCATTTGACAGTAATAATGCAAGTATGATTGCATTTACGGTACGAACGGAAACAAATAGCGTTGTAGAGCAAGCAAATAAAATGAAATATCATTTTCAAAACAATACTGTTAGTGTATTTGGTAAGTTAACTTTTTTGTGTTATCATTATCAGTCCTAAAGTTTCTGATATGTGTGGTAATAACCACTAAAAGCAACTTATAATTTTTTTCTAGGAATTGATTCCGAATTAACCATACCAGTGACTCGATTGAAAACACATCAACCAATTATTACATATCAATTTGGATCAGTGCACTTCACACCGTACATATCACTTTTCTTTTCCTGATTGGAATTTTTTTTTTTATTATTTATTTAAACATACAAATATATTTAAATTTGTTCAGTGCCGAAAATGAAGAAGCACCATCGGAATCAGCGCCATTCTTCTCGGTCGATCCAGTATCAGGTGATATTCGTATTGATCCTATGATTGGTGATTATGCGGAAGGTGTGTTTACATTTGATATTGTTGCTACTCAACAACGAACAGCTACAGAATCCATACAAATTGCACATATTGTTAAACAGGTAAGACTATTCTAATTTTTCAAAACTGTTGCAATCATAAATAAAAATAGTAAATGAAGGATGTTAGTAATATATTTCTCTGAAATATTTGAGTCAGATTAACGTTTAAAGAAGTGATGTATTGGAGGATTTGTAATTTTATATTGCAAATTCTAGCTTCAGTTCTTTCTGAATATATAACAGACGAAAGCTTTTTTTTAAGGTACATAACGTGAAACTTCCATCGTTGTTGAAATTTATCTTCGATCAAAATGTTCATCTTCTAGGATTAAATCTTGAGGATTTCAAGCAGTAAGTGTACATCGTTGTCATGTTACTTCATGAAATCACATTATTTTTGTCATATCCAGAAATATCCTGACAATTAAAACTTTGTTCATTCCTTCTTTTCTACAGACATTTACATAATGCATTAAAAATGGAACCGACAATGTCCGACATTTCTGTCATTTTTGGCACACCTCATGTTTACGAATCAGCAAGAAGAAACAGGTTCGTATTTAAAATTTAATTTTATCTGTTTTTCTTTTTTTTTTTCCTCTTTAGAATCGCAATGAATATCCTTATCAGTTGTAAAGAAAGAAATAACAGATTTGATTCCTTTCTGTAAGCGAAATTAATATAATAATAATAATTAATATGTCATATTAAAAAATCCATCATCTTTGTTCTCGTAATTACTTTTGAAATTTGTTCAACAAATTAATAAAGCTAAAAAACTTTCTAATAATTTTATAGGTCATCGGTATGCTTTCATTCCTTACGTAACGGAATAATCCTTGGACAAGAAAGTGCCATTTCGATACTTTCTGCAACGTTAAATGGTGGTGGCACGCTATCACGTCTTTATCAAGTATTCAAAGTAGCTAATATAGAGGTGAGAAGTTGTGAAAGAAGTCATTTCATCCTTGATTGAAATTCTCGAAAAGCTATTATTTATGCATTTTTCCTTGTTTTTTTTTTCAAAAATTTTCGAAATATCAAAATTTACAAAATAGTGATATTTTAGCCATGCATTGAGCCAACTCGTACATTATCATCTGGCCTAATGATATCACGCTCGGCATTATTTTGGGTTGGCTTATCACTTGTTGGCATCCTAATATTACTATCATTTTGTATTTACACCTGTTTTATCATCCGATACAAAAACTATTTGAATATGAAGAAAGCATCGTTAGGTCAATTTTTTGTTTTATTTTTGAATTTAACATAAAAATTACTAATCTTATGCTGAAATTTGGGTTCAAATATTGAC